GTATGTGTGTGTGTATATATATATATATATATATATATACACACAGTCCATTCTCTGTTTTTTTGTAGAGTCATAATACATGTGCCCATGTCATTTAGTTTTTCTACACAACAGGAATGAGTGCAGTGCTGACAGGTGTCCACATTCAAATGGGCCTTTAGCCATTGCTTTTCCCCTCGCATTGGGGCAGAGTTTGTATAACTTGCTATCAATTACTCCTACCTCCCCCTAGAAAATAAATTGGATGCAGTCAAGCACAAAGAATAAGTGGAACCAGTGTTTAGAAATCAAGCCTGGGAAATTATTGTGACATCCTTAGTTATCGTTGGACACTATGAAATATATGGAAGTGTTGTTTTGGTTCATTTCTGGAAGGCTATTGATAATATGCCTTCACCTGGATGGCCCAGGCTAGCCTGATCTCAGAAGCTAAGCAGGGCCAGTTGTTAATACTTGCATGGGAGACCACCAAGGAAGTCCAGGGTTACTGTGCAGATACAGGCAATGGCAAACCACTGCTGAACATCTCTTGCCTTGAAAACCCTAGACAGCTAGACAGAACTACCACCACTGATAATACAACAATGGTAGAAGAGATAATGGATTGACAAAATACAGTTGAGTAGAAGACAGCCAGATAATGTCAGAGGAGCAAATAGGATAAGGCTAGAATGATTCAGATAACATTTGCCAAAAATAGCGGGTTTAGGATGGCCTTGGAGGAAGAGAACATGGCATAAGCCATAGACTTCAATATCTGTGAGTCTGCAATCCTGTTCCCATCTCTTCAGTTCTGGAGTTCAGCTGCCCAGTGCTTCAAAATGATGTAAACACATTATGAGATGATTCTGCTGGTTTTGGACTGGTGGCTTCTGGCTTGGGCACATCCCTCTTAGATATCCCTCTTAGATATCCAGTCAATAAATGAAGTACGGTGTTGGAAAGCAGGCTGCAGAAGTCTGAAGGTTGGGTGAAGAGACAAGCCTGGTGCAGTCAATATATTGCAGTCATATCTGTGGTCTTTCAGCATGCCTGAGGAGGTTAAACTGTGACTATATAGCTACTATCCAACCAGTATACAATAAATTTCGCTAAGGAGGACACCAAAACACTAAATTTGTATGGGCAAAGTGTTGACAAAATGGGGAAACTTCGATCTACAGCAGAAGCAGTGGAAAAGGAACACCTTTACCCACTCAGGAACAGTCTATTTTAGGACATGGACCACTGCGTGATGTGAAGTTGTACACAGCTAGCCAGCCCAGATGTAAACACAAATGGGCTAGAAGTGATGCGTCAGCACCAATATCATTGCGGCATTTACCCAAAGGCCCAGCCACTGAGGAACTGAGACAGAGCTTGGGGAGGAGAGGAGCTACCTATTGGCTATGAAGCTGGGCAAAGCAAGCAAGGAATGTAGAGATACTACGGAACTGGGCAGAATTGTGAAATTTGTCCAAGTTGATATGGGTATGGAAAC